GGGGGGGGGGGGGGGTGTAGGGAGGTAATTAGTCCATACAAACAGCCCACAAGAACCCCATTGCAGGAGGTAATCCTTCTGTCTTTTTCCGTCGCCAGTTATACCATATCTGGGGGACAAGCTGGATACACCAGAATACGGTGCCGATGGTGCCAAGAACATTGGACGCCGGAGTGGCGTCAGTTGGTGCGGACATGGGCAAAATGATGGATAACAAACTAGTCGCTGTAGGAGGGAGGGCGAACTTGGGATAGCTGAACAGTCACTTGAAAGAGCGTGTTGACAAGGCCAGAATTGGTGTCCACCATCCTTTTCTACTCATCGCACGCAGAGTCCATGTCCCCAGGGTAAATTATCTAGTTTATGCCACCAAACTCTGGAGATCCGAAAAGTGGGGCGCGCGATAACCAAAACAGGCAAGTCGGGTGAGAAAAAGATCTAGAACCACCATCACCGCAAAATCTATAACATATCGAAGATTGAGAGGTAGCCTTTATCCTTCCAGGAGACAGTGCATGGGGGCTTCAGTATGGAAATCAACCCGTACCTGACCACGTAGAATCCTATCCGCGGACACATGCCCCTGGAATCCCCATTATCCAGATATCGTAAACTTTGTGCTGTTATTGACGGTGTACTGAATTGGCTCCCTCATCGATCTGCGTGATACAGCAAGTCTCTAGCCATGGGCTATTCCCCATCTGCACTTCATATTTGTCTTGTTAGAAGAGTCATCGATCGAAGTGCAGGGTCATTATGACAAGGACCTCGCGTGCTCTTCAGAACCGGAAGGTTGATACACCTAATTCCTTGGCTGCAGGAGCCTTGATGTATTGCCAGTTATCCCTGGCCTAGCGCCTATTGCATTGTCATTTTCTCATTGTTAACTCCACTTACTGATAGGCTGGCATTTGCAATGTATAACAGTTATACTGCCCAAGCCCCAAACAACGCAGTTCCGTTCCGAATCCGTTCCCTCTGTTTTCTGTCATCTTCAACTGACTTGGGGAATTCTCCTGCTAAATGAGACAGTGGGCTGCGATGGCTGTCTTCTTCTGAGATAGATGGACCTCAAACTCATAGCCCCAAATCATACCGGCTTCTATCAACGTCAAATCCGAGAATGTACCGCTCAGAGATACTACTGAATCATACCCAGACATGGTCCAGCTTGATATTGTTTACGAGGGCGGCAGTATGAATGAATATATGCTTGGAACTTTCGCGTCTTCACCTGTGAGATATATAAGATATAGGTCTACGCATTGAAAATCATGGGCTGCTTATCTGACAGCATTCTGCACCCTATTGTTCCCCCGGGGTAATATATTATTTATATTGACTTTGGAACTAGACCAGCATATTACCTGTGCATAAATGTTCAACATCTTGGCTTCCTATGGCCGTCTTCAGCTGACACCAAATCGATTTACTGCAATCAAATCTCTCGCTTACTCGGACGGAGGCTATGTTTGTTTTGATGAGGCACAGGAAATGAAAAGGCCGGGTATTAATCGTTCAGTAAGAAGATATTCTAACGTTACCTGGATTCTCTGGACTGTATATGGACATTGCAAAAGCGTCGTTCAACGAAAGTGAGACTTATACTTTCCCACACACGCTAGGAAGGGCGTGTTGTTTTGGCATCTTTCGACATGCAACAACTCGATCCGCTCGCGTTTCCCGCCGACAAGGCGGCATGCTCTCTGTCTTTACGTCCTCATCACCTAGGCTAGACATCTTCTACCCGTGAAGGCCGTTGAGTAACGTCCCACAGTGAGAGGCCATCTTTCTGTTCCGAGCCCTCATGACCCATCGGTTCGTTTCAAAGCTCTACAGAACTGTGAAACGCAGTTGTACTTTGGTAGGCCAGTTCTATGCTGCTCCTCTGATGGACTGCCCTGCCGAATACCTCCATGCAGGGCTGGTGAGAATGGTCCTTATGAAAAAATCTACTTTGCTCATGAGAAGCAACTAAGCAATGGGCGGATGTGTGATGATTTTACTCACAGTCTCATTAACTTGCACATTTTGAGATGAGAACTTGACAGAGAAGTATCAGCGCGAATATCAAGTACCTAACATAAAGCCGGCGGGCCTCGGCATCGTGATTAGATGTATCACGTCCTGGGGTCCGCACGCGTACAAGGCTGAAAGCCGTCAGAAGCACCGACAACTAGCTGCTTGTCATACAGATCGGTCGTCCCAAGCATATCGCCAGGAAACAACAGGCATCGGAATTGATGAGCGCTGAGCCAAGCGGCTGGACAGTAGAACATAGAGCTATTGAAATACTATCGGGGTTTGCTGTGATCCGCGGGTTCAGCCGCACGCCGGCCACAGTAGTAGGGCCATAGCTCGTCAGCACTAGCCACGCATATTTGCCTCGGTGAACCCGTTAGTGCCGAATCACAGCGGGAGTAAAGCGAAAAAGAAATTAATCATGATTTCTGCCACGCAGCTAAAGAGGGCTGAACTCACCGATCTGCGAGTTCATTTCTGAATCCCCAACTTAGTCGTCTCTCACTCTTGGAGACGGGCCAGTGGCGGTGCCTTTTGAGTCTCAAAGTTGCGATGCTTCTAAATTCGCACTAGGTGCTGCTGAAAATTGAACCAATGGATACTTCATGGCATGCAAGGTTGCATGAGCCAGCTGAAAAGAATTCAACTGATTCCAAATTGTACGACTCACACGCGCCCAGAGCTCCTCTATAGCCAAAGGCCCTAGTTACCACGAGACTGAAGTGTGCGACCGTCGGCCTATATATAGTTGGAAGGCTCTCCTCGGGGGCTGTCTTTTCTTTCAACCATCATCGGCCTGTCCTGCCATAACGCATATTTCCAGACAGACTATAAACCTTTTCCTGGCGACGGCTGTTTCATTTACCATCATGCATTTTCTGCTCCTCTTGTTCTTGGGGTTGTTACAGTTGGTGTCTGCAGCCAGGTCCGGCACCTATTATGCCGGTTGGCCTGTTGGTGACAGCACATGGAAGGCTACCGATTCAGTCTTTCAGCGAGAGACCGGCATCGCCAGGTACCGCTTGTTCCAGGCCGACGGAATTATTTACAAGTATCAGCTCGATTTTGACGTGACCGAGAGACAAGGCGAGTACGCCAGTACCTATGTGTTTTACGACTCGGAAGGAGACGAGTACTACAAGGTGGTCTTTGCCACCGGCACCCATACCCTCAACTATAATAGTGGAGACCCCTATATTCAGCAGGTCAAGGTTGTCGAGGATTAGTGAGTGCATGCTCCGCTAGTAGATGCCCCTTGATATTGTGGCTGATATGGATCAGAATAACCTCCTTGTCGTTTAAGACTGGCGGCGGCCATACTATGCTTGAATTGGGCACCCTACAATCCTGGCACATGTCATCAGGAGGATATGCATTAGTGCTTGGTAATAGTTGGGTTTAGTAAGATGAAAGGGTGCTTTTGGGTGGGGATTTGAGGCGCAATATTGGCTATAGTGAAAGATGGGCTCGGAAGTGATGGAAATTGAGGGATGGAGCGCAGTTGAGGGGATGGGTAGTGAGGGCGATTATAGCAACGCAGCGGAAAGTCACCTGTTCTCAGATTGTGGTATTGTAACTCCAATGAGAATTTCAGTATCGGCAGATAAAAGACACCTTATCTCGTACAATCTTGGTCTTGCAACCATCAGCCCACCCGGATAGACTGAAAACAATATAGGACTACTGCACTAGGAACGGTTCTGGTTTGGAAGACACTAAGACATGAACCTGCTATGCTAGAGCGAATGGCAGCTACGTATGCAAGAAATCCTGAAATCACATAAAAAGCGGTGCCTATGCCCCGAGACCGGCCGTACTGACCATTCAATTCAATACTTTTCTCATCTCGACTACACACTCCCCATTGGGTGGATATGCCTCAAAGGTAATTTCCAAGCCCGCAAAGGCCGCCAGATCCCTCCACTCGGCGCTAGTCCTTTCCCGCCCAGCATGCATCAAGATCATCGCGGCGTGAGTGGTCGAACTAGCTGCATTCTTCGTGAACTCCTGAATGAGCAAACGTGAAGACGGAGCCATGACCCTGGAGACCTTATTTAACAGCTTGATGGACTCGATATCGGACAGATTGTGGAGGACGTGGGCCATTGAGTACAGTAGCGCCCCCTTGACGGGCTGTTCGCTGGCATCCTCCTTATAATTCCAGCCCATCTCTGTCACCTCGGGAACGACACCGATGTCGGCATTGTACTCCTGCAGAATGAGGTTTTCCTTCTTGAGTAAGTGTGGGTATGTCGCTTGCATCTCCAAGAGCAGCTCGCCTCGGCCACCGCCGATATCGACTACCCGGATCCTTTCGGGAGCTGTGGACTGAAGCAAGCCGTCCAGATCATACCCGAGTTTGCGGACGCGATCGGGCATGGTGCCCCAGCGACCAAACTTGCCCGTCATGAAGGTGTTGAAGCTGTCAAGACGGCCTGTTTCATGCATCACTGAATACACATGTTCCCGGGCAAGATGATCATTGCCCATGAGTTTGTGGGCATACTGAAATGGGGTGTCACACTCCTGGAACGGATACTCGAACTTGGTATCCATCAGGCGCCGCATGAGAAAAGCTGATGCCAACAGCCCTTCGGATGTGCTGGGTAAAGGGAGTGCCCTTCGGTCAGCCACCAACATTACAGCTCGAAGGCATGTTTAGGAAGGGTCCCTACAAATGCATGGCCCCATGCTGGGCCGATGGTGTATCCACCAAAAATCGGGTGACGGCGTTGGCCTGGTATACATCGTCTGGAAGAAGGTCCAGGAAGCCAAGCCCTCCCATGAGGAAAAGCGTGTCATCTGAAGTGCGGTTAACCTTTGCGAACATTGATTTGTTATGTAAGAACGTGATAGAAACTACATACTGGCCAGAGGCACCGCTTCATGGAAATAGATCGCACTGTCAGCTAGGGTTGCCTTTCACAAGGACGCCATCTCACGACATACACAGGTCGGTATCGCCATATTTTGTGTGATGGAAATTGCAGACATCTTGTGCGGTGGCTGGTTTACCGATCTCTTGCAGACAGCCGAAGAGATCAAAGTGGACAGCAATGGGAACAAACCCCAGAGCAGGAGCCTAGCAGAAGCAGGACGTGAGGTGAGCATGACCATGAGAAAAGACAACCACCAAGGGTAACATCACCCTCAGTGAGGGGCATGGAATCAGCCTACCAGAGTGACAGTGCTCATGACCTTCTTCCCAGCTTCGGGGATGGGGGCATTCTGCGGAGCGGCCATGCTTGTAGAGATGATGGGACTCGGAAAAGGCGGCGTGTGGCTCAAGGTACCGAGTCTTGGAAGCAGAGCGTCCCAGGATGAACCCTCTAGATATAGGGAATCCCAGCTCACCTACTGAGATAACTCGGGGTTCCACAGGTAGTCGTGGCTTTTCCGCAGAGATCTAAGTTACTTACGCCGTGGACGGTCAACTACGGTGATACCCAGAGCGGGTGCATAGCGTCAGGCTTATCGGACGATGGCCCCCAAATTAACCAATATAGGGAGGCCGCCTGGCGTATGCACACCCGAACTGCACATACCAAGCCAGCCACAAATATGTCTTCAGCCCCCTGGCAGGGACTGTTGATAAGAGCTATTTAGACCCAGACTGGCTATGCCAGAATACCAACTAACAGTCTGCGTGCGCGGGAGATAATGAATCTGTATGTTCCATTCCGCCGCACGGGGGAAATGCATGGCACCACCATTGGCAGCAAGGATGGTGACACCCGAAATTACGGCCTGACTCGCACACTTACTTAGTAGTCAGCTTACAGCGGGGGCAGCAGGGTCTTCGGCATTCGGCCGCCAGCCAGAAACACGATGGCCGATGGAGGTAAACGACAGGCCTTATCTCGTACAAGAGTGTGGTGACACAACCAACACATATGCGGAATGGCACTTCGTAAGTCGCCCGCCTCGGCTGTTTCCTCTGCTGCACGAGCCAATGCTTTTAGACTTTCCTTATCAATCGCGGTGGGGTAAATTTTTACTTTGCGACACCTCGTTCGCGAGAGAAATGCATGTCTTGTCCCAAATACCACCCCGTGTCATGTTTAAATGGACCAGAAGAATTGTTTTAATTAAATTACAAGATTGAGACGGTCTAAACAGTCTCTATGACCAACAAGGACAGGATGCTGCCCGGATCTCTATAGACGTGTTGGATTCGTAAATTATCACTCACCCGACTCACAATGGCCTGCCAATCCTCGAGCGTTCGCTCCAGCGTGTTGGTAAATTGGTGAAGCAACAGGTCATTGCACCGCATCACTTGTTCCTCGGTAGCTGGAATGGAGCCCGCTTCCGGTAGAACAATGTCTGCGATGAATATTTTGCTGCTTGGTCCCAGAGCGGGCACGATGCTGCGAAGAATCTGAACAGCTTCGCGGTCCGGCCAATCATGGAGGATTTGGCGCAGGAGATAGACGGCGGCACCCTTGACTGGCTGCATGTGGAGCAGCGAATGACCCTGGAACTGGATACGGGTGGTTACCGACAGGGGCAGCTGGCGCTCTTCCAGTTGCCTGATGCTGTTGGAAACTACGTCCGGGAGATCTTGCACCACAAAGCGCAGGCTCGGAAAGCTCTCTGCGAGAGCAATACTGACATGGCCCGTAGAGCCGCCCATCTAGAAGTCGTGGTAAGATAATGTGAACAAGAGGAATATAGAGTATATGGACTTACATCAACTACAACCCCGTCGCCGAGTGACGACCAGTCAAAGCTCTTACACAAATGGCAGGTGTCAAACAAGCTGGTGGTGGATACTGCTTTCATGGAGTTGGCAAACTCCACTGTGCGGGCAGGATCCTGCGAGACGTAGTCGAAGAAGGAGCCATGGTGGTTGAAGGCGAGGTTATGCGCCGTTTCATTGAGCGCCTTGCTACCTGGCCAAGCCGCAGTAGCATTCACGTTCTTCGTCGCAGTCGGAAAGACGGAATTCGCAAAGTACTGACCCCAAGAGACTAAGCTTGGGTCACTGGCTAGTTGGCGCGATACGGGGCTATGAGCAACCATCCCTATCGGCCCGGACTCCTGAAACAAGTGACAGGTCATAGCGAGTCGAATGTGACTACGCAGGAGATTCTCGGGCACGTTGGCCACGCTGGAGAGCTCGTGATACGAAATGCTGCCCTCCAGCGGCACCAAGGAGAAAATCTCGAAGTGGAGCAACCATCGCACAGCACTGATCACTTGGAGCTGCCATATGAAAATACACACAAACGTTATCATCAGCTTTTCATGTGCACCAAATGATGTAAGGGCAGAGTGGGAGGCCCTGGGAAGCCATGGGATATGCGAACATCGACCGTTAACTGGGTCAGGACGTTACCTGGATCCCGAGTAAAATGCAGCAGCTGAAATGCGGCTTCCGCCAGCCGTAGTTGTGCCGTGCCGACTGCCGTGGGTACGCTGGTCTGGCTGGGCAGCGTCGATGGTTCGTCTTTGAGTGACTTAAGGTGACGAATGATGAGGGTGGCGCTCGCAGTCACCTGGCTGGCATAGTGTTCAAGTTGGGAGGAGAGACGATCGTCCATCACGGCGCTTAATCCAACTGGTATGGTTATCCGTTGCGTTGAGGGCGAGGAAGAAAATGCATGTACCATGTAGCGACCGATATTGATAGCAGGATTAAAAGAGAGCCTCTCCATTTGTAGGCAAGCAAGGGGGATTAAAGGGGCAGGGAGCTTGGCCACTGACCCCATCCGTCTGTGTCTCAGTCCAATTCTCGATCGCTCCATCAAGGATTGTGACACTGCCGAGTTACATGCAGGTGGCTGGACCTGGCTGCTCCCGTCTGGCCACACAAGGAGTCAGCTGCAATCATTCTAAGCCACCGGGTGACCCCATCAAGACGATTGTTTGCATTGGTAAGCAATTTCGCGCAACATTCCTACGGCCCGCAAACAAAGGGTCATGTTCGCGCCCTCATACGATGCTGTACTTTCGTACACTTCGATTGGTGGCGTACAGTGTCCTCGACTCTGCGTATTCAGTTCGCTACAGCCGTTCACTGCTTTTCCAATATACCAGCGCTGTTATTCTGGCTACTCACCTGCAGGCTCTACTCACTCCGTTGGGGGCCCTGTCCCAATGTCTGACACCGCGCGGATCTCAGGCGGTTCATTCACGTCTCCTCCAGGCAGAGACGTGGAATTAAATAGCTTCAAGGAAGCCTCTCAGACACGTTTGTACCCCTACAGTTCCAGGAAGGAGGAAGAGGGACGGGAGGATGAGCAACAACGGCCTGAGCGGGAAGAGGACACCGGCGCTCTAACAGGCTACAAGCTGGTATTGGTTACCGTCGGGCTCTGCTTCTGCATATTCTGTACCTCGCTCGACAATACCATCGTCGCCACTGCGGTTCCGAGAATCACCCAGCAGTTCCACTCTCTGGATGATGTGGGGTGGTATGCCAGTGCCTACCTGCTCACAACTTGCGCCGTGACCCTCCCCTTCGGGCGCCTCTACACCTTCTTCCCCATTAAATGGGTCTATCTCAGTGCCTTGTTTGTCTTTGAACTTGGTTCCTTCATCTGCGGCATCACCCCTTCCTCGCTGGGTCTCATCTTGGGCCGCGCTGTGGCCGGCCTGGGGGGAGGGGGGCTGTTCTCAGGTTCGCTCCTCATCATTACTCAATGCGTGCCTTTGCGGCGAAGGCCGGCTTTCTCCGGGTTCATCATGAGCATCTTCGCGGTGGCGAGCGTGATTGCACCTCTGTAAGCCTGTGGTCCTAAATGTACATGCGGTTGCAAGACCGACATGAGCTCTTTATACCCGTGAGCTAACCTCTTGGCTTGCCGTTTCTTAGGATGGGCGGAGCATTCACAGACCACATCTCGTGGCGCTGGTGTTTTTATATCAATCTTCCGTTCGGCCTCGTCAGTGCTGTTGTCATCTTCTTCACGTTCCAGACCACCAAGCCAGTGGTACAGGCAAGCCTGCGAGAAAAGGCGGCTGGCCTTGATCCCCTGGGGACGGCCACCTTCCTGCCAGCCATTGTGTGCCTCCTGCTAGCGACTCAATGGGGTGGTGCCCAATACCCCTGGGGCGATGGCCGCATAATCGCGCTGTTTACTCTCTTCGGGGTCCTACTTGCGTGCTTTGTAGGGCTACAGCTTTGGGCCCGCGAGCGAGCCACCCTCCCACCGCGCCTTCTACGGGGCCGCAACATCTGGGGTTCTGCGTTGTACGGCTTCTGTCTCAATGGTGCCATGTTTACCTTTGTCTACTACCTCCCCATATGGTTCCAAGCTGTTCAGGGGACCTCTGCCACGGAGTCGGGCATACGGAACCTGCCGCTCGTCATATCCAACGTGATATTCGCCATCATCTCTGGCGTGCTGGTGAGCGCGACCGGTTACTTTGGCCCTTTCATGCTCCTGAGCGCGGCTATGGCTAGTATCGCCGCTGGGCTGCTCTCGATGTTGCATCCAAGTTCCGGGGCAGGTGAATGGATCGGATACCAGGTGCTTCTGGGATCGAGCATCGGCATGGGCTTCCAGCTGCCTGTATTCGTCGTTCAGACCACCCTGGCCTCCACTGATATCCCCACCGCCACCGCTCTGATGACTTTCATTCAGCTCCTTGGCGGTGCTATCTTCGTCTCTGTCGCGCAGAATGTGTTTCGCAATCAGTTAGCTGCCGACATCCGCGCGGCCTTGCCGATGCTGGACCCTAAGGCAGTGATTAATGCCGGTCCTACCAGTCTGAGGGCAATGTACTCGGGGGAGACTCTTACAACTCTAGTTGCTATGTATAATGATGCCGTAGTGCACACCTTCTACCTTGCCATTGGCTTAGCTGCTGCCTCCTTCCTCGCCGCAACGGTCATCCAGTGGCGGCCCTCGCCGAAATCAATCAGCCACCCCGACTCTTCCTGAGGCGGAAGATCGACTTGTATGCGCCTCACTAGGCGGGAGACCTTGGACCCCTACGAGGCCCAACATTTAACCTTCATTTTCTTCCCGCATTAGGCTTTCGATTTCACCAGGATACCTGGGCATCGTTAGGGACAATGACCCCAATGAATTTCTACATGTCGACTGTCTTATTTTACACATGCTCCTCGGTCTATGAACTAGCCCTTTATTATTCCCTTGCCCAATATCTCCCATTCCTCATATGATCTCGTAACACCTGCGCACCCAGAAAGAGATTTCAGCGTCCATGTACAACTCCACTGAAAGTATTGTTGATTGTGGTATCCAGATCGCTAGAGGGGTGCAATATGGCCCGAGTAAATACTGTTTACGGAGTAAGTACCTGTGGCAGTGCCCTAAATTTGAGATGCCGGATGGGAGGGGCGCGTACGACAACAATGGTGTGATGATGCACCCGGAGTCAGCTTTTCCGTCGGTAGTGTGGATAGGTAAGCAGACATGGCACCACATTCTTATCGGGCTGAATACCTTCCTCGGACTCTTTGTGGGCTTGGTCAACACCCTGGTATGCCGTCACTTGTAGTACTCGAGGCGCCTTCAATGCCAAATGATGACTCCGCCGCCTAAGCCAAACATGTTGTTTTCTGTAATAACTCTCCATCAGCCTTTGCCATCTGTTGGTTAGAATCTAGGTCTGCAAATCAATTTTGATTTCTCATCTTGCATACTATTTCGGCGCAGCGCACAAGGATTATTGGCGGTATCTATTGGTGCACTTGTGGGGAAAATGCCACATGCACCACCGCTTCCTCGCAGAGTCATTATATGAGTAAATGAGCAACCGGAGCCAATGGATATCAGTGGCTCGGCATTTAGAGGTCCATTGAAACACTAGAAATCTAATCACAGGCCGCCAAAGTAGACAAGAGCTGCGCTTCGTGATCTGACCAGGGCTGCCTCAATGACGCAAGGGACAGTCCCTTACCAGTCAGGCAGGCAAGGAGGCTTACGGTTTCGGCTCATTGATGGTCTGGACAAACCCTTGCTGCAGCCAACTACGACTGCAAAGGATACTACCACATAAATGAATAGCACATGGTGGGACCAAGGCTGGTGTCACCTCATTCCAATCTCCTTCCCACATGGAGGCTTAAACCAAAAAAAATAAATAAATAAATAAAATAAAATAAAATGGCTGGGTTCTGAACCCGGATATCCGAAGCAGGCTACTGAGAAAATGTCAACGGACGAGTGTAGTATTAAAGCCACTCCCAGGCCTAGGATTATGACCAACGACCCTTCTGAGCATTTTTTCGTTCAAGCACAGCTTCTACCTCTGAGCCTAGGAGTACACAATGCTGATCCTCTATCTAGTATGTGCCATGCAACAAATGGTTCTCCGAGCCTTGTGCAGCTTGCATCCACAACTAACCCAGACTTTTCGGCATGTAGTTGGCGGTCGCCATGGTGGGCTGGCTCATCTATCGACTCCATCTAGACCCTTTGTCGCGTATTCCAGGTCCCTTGCTGGCCAAATTTGTTCCGGTGCGACGATTATTCGCGCCGCCGGCCCGCGGTCCTGCTCAGCTAGCTAACTGATTATGCCAGATCTGCAACATTCGGATGGTCCTCACCGGCCGAATGATGTTCACTTTCAAAGAACTGCATGACACTTACGGTGAGCCCTAATCTTTTTGCTTACCCCTCGTCCCTCCACAAGCCGTCTCCAGAAGGCTTACCACCGGCCCTTCTTTCAGGTCCAGTAGTTCGCATCGGACCTAGCGAGCTATCATTTGCAACGCACAGCGCATTTGATACCATCTATGGCCCCTATGGTGATAAAAACTTCTCGCTCTACGGCAGCCGGAAGGGGCTGTTGGGAAGCCTGGGTGGCATGGCCGAATCCTTGGGTAACTCAACAGACAAGGAGAATCGCCGGAAACTACGTCCCCTGGTGGCTACATCGTTGAATGAGCTGCTGGCCGCCAAAGGCGAGGAGTACTGTCACCTGGCAATGGATGAGCAATTGGCATCCCATCATGTAGGCCAGACAGAAGCAACGCCCGTCTCCCTGTCCACGTTGAATAATCGATACTTGTGGCAATTCGCGAGCATGGCGGCCAATGGAAACTGCGGCGACGAAACAGATCGAGGTACTAGCTTCACCAATATTTTCATGGGATTGAGCTTTATGGCACTAACCCAAGTCATAGTAAGCTTTGATCCTCACGTCGACTGGTTGGATCGCTTCATGTGCTTCCTCGAAACACTATTTATCTTTTTCTCTCGAGCCACCATCCACAGACATCTGGGTATTGCTCTACACCTCTGGCAGGCCATTTGCTTCATCTTCCGACAGCCCGTCCATCCAGGCGAAGTCAACTACGACAGAGATGAATCTCCCTTCCCGGATAACCTACATAGCCGGCTGCAGCAAGCGGCTTCCAGGACCAGCCTACACGTGCCTGAATACCTGCTGCAGATCAATTGCTTTGTTCTCCGGTGAGTGTCGGCTCAAAGGCTGTAGGGAGTGTTACAAGGCTTAGACTAAACCACCGACGCAGATTCAGCATATACGGGACCGCAGACAATATGCTGAACGCGTTGTTCTATTTTCTGCTGCGAAACCCACAATGCTTAAAGAGACTGGAAGAGGAGGTTTCATGTGTGGGTGCCACCGTGAATGAGCTATCGGACGATCGTCTAGCGAAATTGCCTTATCTCAACGCCTGCATTAACGAAACCTTCCGCATCGCACCAGCCTTCAACGGGGGCATATTACAGCGAGTGTCATGCGGCGCCACTGTTGATGGGGTCTACGTCCCACCGGGGGTAAGCTCTAACCTCTTCAACCTTTTGGACTGGATTGTCAGGGGCACTTCACTGATATGAGGCACTTGGCAGGTTGCGGTGTCGGTCGACCATTATACGCTGGGCCATGATCCTCAATACTGGGTGAAGCCTGATGTCTTCAATCCGGAACGGTGGATCGATCCAGATTGCAAGGATAACTTCAAGGCATCGCGTCCCTTCCTTATCGGCGCACGCCAGTGTCCGGGGCGACAGATGGCGTATCAGATGTTCCGGGTGTGTGTCGCTAAATTGGTGTACCTGTACACCTTTGAATTGTTGAACAAGGACTTTGACATTGAGCGGGATACCTTCTCCTCATATCATTGGACTGGTGTCAAGCTTGATGTTACCATGAAACCGCGCACCCCGGGTGTCCTCGGTTACTGATCCTACTGGGCCTTACTTTTAGTTTCGGAATCACTGCCATATCTTCCCCCTTCGAACTAACCGTCTTCAATAAAGGTGACTCTCATTACCTGTTGAGACTTTCCCAAGTTTTTTCTTGGAGCAACGTGATATGATCACCTTTGCTAGGAGCACATCAAGTGACTTTAAAAGGCAGTGCATATTGCAGTGATGCAATGGTTCTCGACTTTTGGGTGCCCCATTCCAAATCACATTGCCAGCCCACTCCACTCCACGCGAGATCCGTAAACCTAAAGGGGCCCGTCATACGGCGTCAGATATCAAATACATACAATATTATAATTCTTGTCAGTCCCATGAGAATCCGCGCTGCAAAATACAGGGCCGTTTACATATCTGAGTATACACCACTGAAGTGCTAAGCATTAATTCCACACTACTCCTAACACCCTCCGTACTCGATGTACTACCGAAAACTTGTAGACAGCAGTCCAGTCACGTAGTGTGATGTGGCCACTAATTAACTTAGAACGAGTATGGGGCCCTAAGGTATAATACACATCACCGCAACCTACTCTACATGTAGACCCCAAGACCGGTCCATGTGATGCTGTAGGCAGACCGGAATGAAATAGTAATGGCCCTCGTGGCAGGCTGAGAATTCTGAAATCCATCACATCCAATAGAATTTCTAGTCTGACATGCCATGGCGCTTGTGAGTCAGATTCGCGATTTCTCATTGATGACTCGATCCAATCTCATGATTGGCCTCTCTGCATACCAACCGGCATTCTTCAGTGGAAGCCTGCTCCTGGCTCCACCTGACATTTTTCACCAATCAGTACTTAACAGCGCTGCCAGGGCAAAGGTTAGGGACGATTATTCTTGAAGATCTAACGCATCAACAAAATGTCTATCTTCTTCAGCATACGTTTCTGGCCGGCTGCTATTTCGGCTGCGATATTGTGGCTTCCCCAGGTGCTGGGGAGGTCCAACGGGACTGCACCCAATTATACCGTTGAGGAGCTATGGAAGCTGGAAACTACCTTCTGGGACAACTTCTTATATCCTGCCAATGTTGAGCAGATGGAGGCAATTAATTCGACGTTGTTTACTCAGGATGTATGTTGGTGCAGGGTAGTTGTTCTGCCCTTCAGTCGCTGACACCCCCCGGCAGGTACAAGGTCGAGTAGACATCACCCGCGTGTTTAACGGGAGCGAATTGAACACGGAGTATATTTTCGGACTGTTTTCCGACCCTGACCATGTTAGCCTCGTCGGGGTGCCCGTTGACTATAGCATCACGCAGTTCATTGCCCAGGGAAATATCGCATCCGCGACCACCGTTGTCACCTTCAATGCCACCTCGTTCGGCAATCTGCTGGTACCAGTCACCATTGACACATGGATCATGTGGGATGCGGACGGACGCATTATGCAATATGATGCCACCTTCCGCTGGTTCGGGTTCCTGCTGGATACTTTGGTGGAGGCGCTGGCTGAATCCATCAACGGCACCACCAGCCAGGCTACGGCATCACTGACCCAGCTGCTCGCCACAACCATCTGCGCTACACATGATCAATACTGCACGGGATCGAACCAGCAATACGATAACAATACGGCTTGTCTTGACTTCCTAACCTCGGCAATCCCGCTCGGCAAAGACTACGAGCTGGGCCGCAACACCCTGTTATGTCGAGAGGTTCATGAACATATGGTGCAGTATGATCCTGCGCTGCACTGTCCCCATATCGGGCCAACTGGTGGGGATTACTGCGTGGATGATCAGACCTATGCACAAAAGGTCCTCCAGAAGTACTTCAACCAGTCGTGGATTGTGGGCGTGCCCTCGACCGGAGATATCTGGCTGGGGGATTGATGGTGGAGAACTGCTTGCTGGGCTGTTGTTTTGTATTCAAATTAACTTCACTTGATTATGGATATAGGACCAATAAAGAATGATAGAATGGAGAAGCTTCCTTTTCAAGAACGACGAGCCAGGGCATTCTGGGATTTGCATAATCGCACTAACTGTAAGAACAAGCCTTCCTTCAATGCTCCGCAAATCTGCTTCACCGATTCATCCGCTCCAACCAGATCCGTCTCTGTCACTCTGTTTTGGCCTATTCCTCATCCGAAAACGGCGACAGCAGGGGCTGGTCTGGCCAGAGAGACTCGTACAGATTGCGGGCCAACTTCCATTCCATCTCATCCCAGTATCCATCGGAGCTGACGCATATCAGCATGGGGTATCGTACCAGCTGGGAAGTGCATCACCCTACCTTAGACGAAATTGTTTCGGGGCTAACACGTGCGCCCGCAGCAGGATGCAGCCGACCACCGTATCATATGGCTTGCGGGCTGTTTTCACGAATTCAAAATTCTTGGTATCCCGAAGGTGGATTATTAACGGCTCATGTGAATTCCTTGCAACACCGTTGATGTCAATCCCTTCGACCTCATTGACCAGGGGCGGCGTGACATGGTCGTCTCGGGGGTCGTCGGTTGGACCGGACAAAGGGATGTCAGTTGCATTGACCACCCGCTGAGCATCCTGGACGAGCTGGGGCCATGCAGATACCCATTCTGTGCTGTGGTTGTCACGGACGCCGTAGTAGTGGGTGTAACTGCCCAATGTGAGACTCGGGATGGGCTGAGTCGGTATGGTGGACTTACCTCATCGTGAATTCCGTTTTAGGTTGTTATTGATGTAGGATTGAGTGTGGTTGAAGGTGATGACCACAAGTCAGAAGTAGGCCTATGGATGGGAAATGGCAGGAATTTATTACAGAGTGTGCGCGGAGAACATGAGGTAGGCAGCCATGACAGAAGCATGTGAGGCAGCAGCCCCTGATAATTGCGATGAATTCACTGGAATCTAGCGTGGTCTAGGTTCCTTCCACAGTGCTACTACCATGGATTCAGCGTCTTGGCCCTTAGAGGGACTTGGATCCGCGCATCTTATACTCTGGCAAGGGACTGCGTCCTCCGCGATACCATAACCCTGTGTTCTTCACGTCCCTGTTGGTCAACGTCTCCGTTGCGCGTAAACCAAAAGCTACATCTTTTCCAGGGTCCTCCTCCACCCACTGACACCGGCTGAAGGCCGTCTTCAGCTCCTGGTAAGTGAATTCTCCCCGTCCGTGGTAGTGCTGGCCCAGCAGGGGAACAATCGCCTTACTGGCTACAGGCCCGTAATAATGCGGGATGCGCGAGAATAAATGGTGAGTGACGTGGTCGGTCGAGATATGATGGAAGAAATGCGTCCCAATGATGCCGAAGTCGCGGTCCATGGTTGCGGTCGCGCCACGCAAGAAGCTCCACGATTCCGGTGTGTATTTAGGCACTGATGGATGGGTATGATGCAGATAAGTGATCATTACTAGGTACTCAGTCAGATCCTGTTAGACAACTTCATTCGCCGGAGGAAAGGGAAGAGTTGCACATACCGATCCAGTGGTTCACCCATGTCCACGGCACAATATAAACCCAAAAAAGCGTCTCGAAGGAGCCAAACTGCAGATAAAGCTGATAAAGCCCAGTGATCACAGCAAAGCAGCCCAGATCCGACAGCACAATGGACAGCCACTCGGAGGGATAGAACAATGCACCTTGGGGATCGAAATGACTGTGGCGCCACATTGACATACCTTTCTTGGGAACCGCTGTCGGAGGGCAGGTGATGTTGGTCAGGATATACCAGTTCCAGCCGATGGTCTGCTGCAGCAAGATGCGGAGGAAGAGGACGAAGGGCGCATCCTGCCCGATATCCTCGAGCGTCTCGACCGCCTAGCCGATGCTATCGGCATAGGACTGGCGCAGCGGCGGCACATAGTTCAGATCCTTTTCAATGTGATTGGCATAGATATGGTGTCGCCGATGAGTTGACTTCCACGAGAAATACGGGGCAAGGAGGGAAGAGTGCAGTACAAATCCGACGCTGTCATTGAGCACACTCCAGCGCGAGAAGGCGCTGTGGCCACAGTCGTGTGCAATCACCCAGAGGCCCGTCCAGACAATGCCTTGACAGACTCCATACACGTTGACGGTGAGATAGTAGAGCAGTGATGAGTTCCGCACTGCGCTGGTTTGTAGCAGCTGATACAGCGCGATCAGCAGAATAGCCGAGTATACCAGGTCCCGAAACAGGTAGAAGCAGGACCAGAACAGGGACGGCGTGAAGCAGTACTCGGGCACTGCGCGACGAAGGTCGTCCACCGTCACCTTCTGATTTAGATCCTGCATCCCCGCAGGCATACATTAGTCGTTGCAGATATACACAATAGACGGATGAGTATCCCTACCCCTCCTTCTACTAGACGTGTTGGATGCGGTTCTGCGACCGTGCGAAACCCGGTCTTTCCTGACTCCATGATGCAGGGGCAGATTCTTTGGGGACGATTACCGACAATGGGCTTCAGCTGTCTCCCAAACACAACTAGTCAATAACCAGAGTGATGGTTGACCAGGGACAAGCCTTCATCCTTACGATAGGGTGCTTTGATTATTATAATCATCCGCCTCTACCAGCAGGCTAGGATTGCTCAAATAGACTTTCACCAACGATTCAGGCATCCCACGCCGAGCTGAGGGTCAGCCCATAAGATTCATTGCAAATAAGCAAAAGATGGGAGTGTCTGAGTAATGACGTGCAGGAGAGCCCTTCAGGGTCCCACTTGCAGAGACGAGGCTGGGAGGATCCAATCCTGCGTTATCGAAAGCCGTGAAGAACCCGCGGGGTTCCGCGAATCATAGCGATCAATCCAGGGTCTTGGTCGCCTTAGTATCCGCGCGCATCATGTTAAGTGGACCTCGCACTTCGTTCCATTTCGCGCCTGATCAGCAGTGGCGTGCCTCGCCTGGGTGGTAATGCAGGCGAACTAGCTGCCTTAATACTACCTAATACCTCCGTCTACACCCAAAGTAAGACCAGCTTACTAGATTGGTCAGGCTTGACGTCGACCAATCACGCTTTACATTTGCCTTTCAAAACAGTCTTACGGTCCAGAATACCGAGCAAGATGTCTGGATGGTCTTTTCGTGGGAATGTGATGACGAGGGAAATAAATATTGCAGATCCAAGCGCGACAGGGAAAATGTGCTGATAAGAATTGTGAGAATAATGGCGGGAGACAGTCCCGTCGGTAATTGAACTACCATCTATTAGTCCAACGATATGCCACCAAGCCAGGCCCTAGCTAACCCAATTGCCCGACACAAACAAGGACTATCAATGGACTTCAAATATACCCACTATTATGGATGTATCAGACTCTGGCTCGTGTCAATTTGATCTCGGATCCTTCAGACGCAAAGCACCCTGCATGTCCAACACCCTGGATACGAGGGGGCCAGAAGATAAGACATGATTCATGATCTTCAGTAGGATACACTTTTTCTACGAACGCCTGAGGGCAAAACTCGGTATCCTTTGCTGATGTGTATCCAGTCACTTTCTATTGCAATCTATCATGATCATAATATCCGGTCATTATTATATACAATGGTTCTATCGACACCTACGCATCCGTGCCCAGAGCAAACACGTCAGCGATTTCGGTGATATTCTTTCCCTGGGATAGCAGCAATCCCAACAGAATGCGGGACTTCTGCGGGTTTAGGTATCCACTGGCGATGTGGGTGGCGGTGTCGCTGCTCACGTCTGACAGTGGCACTTCCCCATTGACTGTGCGCATACTCTGCACGACAGGGATCTCCAAACGGTTGATGACATCCTCGATAGCCTCATTGAAGGAGGTTGTGACGCCTCCAGCACCAGCCCCGGCAATCTATTCTCATCAGCGTCCATTCCAAGTTTTATAGAGAGAGATCAAGGAAATCACACTCACCACAATTCCCTGGGCACCACTGGAGATGGCGTTGTAGAGGGTGTCGTTGTGCATGTCCTCATAAGAAAACAGAATGTCCACACGGGGGATCTCAGTCACGTTGGTGATGTCAAAGGCCACCTTACCGGTTGGCTTGACGGGCGGGTAGAAGAAGAAAGGGGTGTTGGAGATCATCTCGCCAAGGTAGCCCATCTCCATGGCCTTGAAGGTGTCCATAGTGTTGGCATTGGTCTTGGTCACATAGTAGGCCGAGGCAATGCGATCGTTCATGACCACCATGGCACCGCGATCGCGCGCCGACGTGGAGGCAGCCACCGTCACGGCTTCGAGCAGATTGAAGGGCCCGTCAGCTGAGATGGCCGTGGATGGGCGCATGGCACCCACGATGACAATTGGCTTGCCACAGTTGACAGTGGCGTCCAGGAAGAAGGCAGTCTCCTCGAGGGTGTCGGTGCCGTGGGTGATGACAGCACCGGCCATGGTCGGGTCCTCACATACAACGCGGTTCAGCTTCTTGGACATGGAAATCAGGATGTCAGAGGTGATATCCTCGCTTCCCACGTTGGCCACCTGGACGCCGGCAACATTGGCCACATCCAGCATGGATGGCACCGCATCGATGAGGGACAGGACCCCGACTGCTCCGGAGGTGTAGCCGGTCGTGGCGGTTGAGCTGGAATCGGAGCCCGCGATGGTACCACCTGTGAGTTGCGGTTAACTATCGGTCGCACTACCTGAGGTATACTCGGTCCACCTACCCGTTGCGAAAATGGTCACGTTCGGCAGGGTGGTGTTCATCTGGGTGAAGTTGAGGCCATTGGCATTGGTGAAGACGAAGGTTTCATTGGTGGTCCGCGAGTAGAGCAGCGGAGAGGCCGAGGCGAGACTGGCCAGGGCAGACAGGAGAATCGGCTTGAGAGGCATGATGAAGACGGATGCGATGGTCTCTGCTGGCTTCTCTTCCAATTCATCTTGCCTGGTTTCAGCATTTTATACCCCATGTGCTTGCCAGGCGGCGGGTGTATTCGGAATCCAACCGTGATTGCAGGTGGAGATGATATTGTTTCTGTGGAGGCTTGCTATCTCCTCCTCCACATGGTCTTATCAGGGTTTCTCCACATGGAGTCGACATGATAGACTAGTACTAGTCTCTGTGGCTAGAAGGGAATCAGGGTCCATAGGCTATCTTGTGGGTGGAAACTGATAGGATGATGATTGATAAAGGGCTTGGCCCACCGATATCGGGGGTGACTCTTCCACGATAAGCCCCAACAGCCGGGAAGGTCCACCCGAGGGTGATATTATCCCATGCGATGAGGCAATCCTCAAGAATCCTTCTCGAAGCATCTAGTTATCACCCATGACAGCAATATTTCATCTTATCTCGTTGTCTCGTGGAGATCTCCAGATGTCAATTGGCATGAGCTGGATTCAACATTCGCCCCCAAATTACTAGAGTAGTACTAGCATCTACTAGTTAATTGGCTACTGCTATCAAAACTCTCGGAGCCCAAAATATATCTCCATGTCAGCAAGACGGCGATGCGTAGTACAAGCAGGATGTTTATTCATCGGCAAGTAGTAGTAGTAGTAGTAACTAGTATGATGCTCTCAGATGCAAGTTCCCCCCACTATACCTTGCCCATTTGAAATTGGTGCGAGGTGTGCCCTGTCACCACGCCGGCCGTGTTTCGGATCTCGGGTTTATGAAATGCGGCCAACGACTGCAGCTGCACGGGAGAGCCGATCTGGAGTCGGCGCAGGATCTCAACCACAGCGGCATAGAGTATCTCCCGATTGCCATCCTCAATCTTAACCGCAATCCCCAGAGCCCCGCTGCTACCCAGCCGCTGCGTGTAATCTGAAGCACGCACCCCAATGGCGTAACAGCCGTCCGCTCCCACCTTGCCGATCAGAGCTCCCTCAAATGCCTGCATCAGCGCGGTACAGAACCGACCATCTCCTCCCACCAGTTCCGGATGGCCCGCCATCGCTCGAAAGATGCGACCTAGGGCCTGCGTTCGAGGAGACAGATGATCCGAGGGGACCGCATCAGCCGCATTGGCAATGCGGGCGTAGATAGCGGCCAGATGCTGAAGGGGCAGCGCGGGGGCCGGCAGGTTACAGCCGTCGATGGCCCATTGGACACGATCTGAAGGTAAGCCCGCCAACTCCTCGACGGCGTGGGCAACCTGCTGCTGAAGGGGGTGGGTGGGGCAGTGGTACTCTGCAGTAGTGGCACCCAGGGCTTTGGCACCTGCCAGCATACCGGCATGTTTGCCCGAGCAGTTGTTGGCGATGGCCGTCGGTATCCAGTCTTGCTTGATCCAGGCTCGATTGACAGCCTCCGACAGGGCCGCATGACCCCCACACCGTAAGTCCTCTTCCTGCATATTGGCCTTGCTCAACATGGCGCGAGCACGGGCAAGATGGCGATCTTCACTGCTGTGGGAGGCGCACATCAACGCTAGATCCGCCTCGTTGAAGTCAAACTTTTCGAGAGCGCCGGTTTCCACCACCGCCAGGGCTTGGGCAGGTTTCGCGGCCGAGCGGGCCAGGGTGACGCGCGTGGGATCGCCCACGGCATATAAGATGCGGCCCGTGGCATCGGTGACGGCGGCGTGCACTTGGTGTCGGTTTTCCACGACGCTGCCGCGATGGGTCACTACATAACCGGTAGCGGAGTCGCTCAGAGATGGGTTGGGAGGTACGGTCATGGTGGATGATAGCACACGGGCGACGCAAGATCGAGAAATAACTTGGTCATCATTATTTCTTGTGGGTAAGCAAGAGTCTTATAGGGGGTCCTGCTGTGGTCTGCGACATCTGGTGGATGTGGATGGACGATGATGAAGATGGGGGAACTATTCCCAATGCGGTGCGCGGGTGCGATGGAATGGACAGGAAGAGAATTTTTCATCTCAGGATTGGGGAAATGGTTGAACTCGACCGGTGTGTGTGTGCCGTTGAAGCAGCTGGAGTGTTATCTGTAGTATCTACGGTCTATGCGCATCATCTTCAACAGATCCGACCAGAGTGTGAAAGATGCCATCGAAGAAAGAAAAATAACTAAACCCGGTCGGGACTGCTATCGACAGCCTGAGGCAGTAAGGCAGTGAGGCAGTGAGGCAGTGAGGCAGTGAGGCAGTCAGGTGATGATCAGGCATCCAATCATCTCTGCCTCGCCGCCTTGCCGCCTGGGGTGTCAAGGCGAAGGACCAGCTCGTCATCCGATCGAGATCCATCCCGAATAATGTCCAGGCTGTTCGCAGTGCCTGGTGCTAGTTGTAGATATATGGGTTATGATATCTCACTGTTCTCTACCATCCTTCCTGTTCCTGGCTCTCTGCTGTGGTGTGTATCCGAGCGGGCCGGAAGCTACCGATCGCCGGATTGTTCCGGCCCTTTTCTTATTCCATGGGCTGTGCCCTTACTCTGCCTCTCTTTCTATCTTTCTCTCTCTCTCTCTCTCTCTGATTCGTTCCCAATGGAGAATTCAGGTACAAAGTAATTCCCTCTGGCATGACTGCTTGACATGTCGCCATTCAACATCATGAAGTACTAAGTAGTAGTAGACCAACTACTCTGGACGGCTGATAGCAGCCAATCACGGGAAAGTGGCCACGCACGGGGGCTGTCGATCCCCGATGATCGTGCATTGGCAGAGCCATGAAGAAAGACGGTAGGACAAGCCTCGACCAGTCTCTGCTACAGTGTATCCCCTCCCAGATATGGGGTAAACCCTCAAATACCGTCCGACCCGGTCCCTCGTGCCCCTGCAGATCGATGCCATTGGAGTTGCATCCGGCCTTCGCGTCTCCACCGATGGAGAAGGGAGGGTGAATAATGGCGTCCATGCAAATGGCTCGCTTGACTCACAAGATGTAGTACTTGTTTAATGAAAATAGATGGTGTCTCGACCACTTGACACCACCACGTGCAGACCCTGCAAGGGGAGAGATGAGGAGAAAAGCTGTCCGAGTGACAGCTCCAACTCCACCCTGACCATGGTATAAGAAGGCTCCCCCTCGACCATCTTGTCAATGGCTATTCTCACCAGGGTATCGCATTCTGCCTCCTCCATCTGTACTACAAATTACAACAGAGCTCACCATGCATCCCAGTGCGCTGGTCGGTCTGCTGGCCTTTGCTGCCGCTGCCTCGGCCATCCCCGCCAACCCCAGCCATAAGGCTCACTCCGACTCGGCCGTCCAGAATCTCAAGTCGAAGATCAAGAATGTCGTCGTCCTGGTCATGGAGAATCGTTCCGTGGACAACCTGTTGGGAGGTCAGACGATCAAGGGCTTGGAGAACCCCATCAACAACGGCCCCTACTGCAACCCCTACAACATCACCGACCTCTCCCAGGGCACCGTCTGCAGTGCGGCCAGAGACTACGACTCGGTCACCGATGATCCCGATCACGCCGTCTATGGCAATAACATCGAGTTCTACGGCACCTTCACCCCCGACAATGCGGCCATCGCCCAGGGCAAGCTGACCCCCTCCCAGCAGGGGTTCGTCACGGAACAGCTGCGCCTGTACAGCGCCGATGCCAACCGCACCGAGCTGTCCGTGCAGGTCATGAACTATTACACCGAGCAGCAGGTGCCCGTGCTCACCTCGCTCGTCCAAAACTATGTCGTTTTCAACCATTGGCACTCGGATGTGCCTGGTGTACGAACCCCCCCCTTCTTCCCCTTCCCCACCTTTCAGCTGGCAACTTGCTAACTCAGATTCAGCCCACCAACCCCAACCGGGCTGCCCTCACCTCTGGCACTTCGTATGGTCACGGAACCAACGATGAGGCCTTTGACAACCACGCCTTCCCCCAGCGTTCCATCTTCCAGCAGCTGACCGAGACCGGCCACTCCTGGATCAACTACTGGGACACGGCTGGTGGCACTGGCCCCGATGCCGAGTTCTACAACTGGACTTACACCTCCAACAACACCGACAAGGTCAAGGCCCTGGAACAGTTCTACACGGATGCCGCAGCCGGTGCCCTGCCTGAATTCAGCTACGTCAACCCCTCGTGCTGCGGTGTCGGCACCAACTCGATGCACCCCAGTGGTCTGATCTCCGACGGCGAGAAGCTGATCAAGAACGTCTACGACGCTCTGCGCGCCGGGCCCCAGTGGAACGAGACCCTCTTCATCCTGAGCTTCGACGAGACCGGTGGCTTCCACGACCATGTGCCCCCGCCCCTCGCTCCCCGGCCGGACAACCTCACTTACACGGCCACCACCCCAAGCGGCGAGGACTACACCTTCAACTTTAACCGTCTGGGTGGTCGTATCCCCACTCTGCTGATCTCCCCCTGGGTCGGCAAGGGATATGTCGAGCAAAAGGGCACCAGCGTCACCGGCGAAACCGTGTCTTACTCCGCCTCCTCGATCCTGCGCACCCTGGGCTACCTCTGGGACTTTGACCCTTTCACCCCGCGGGTCGAGTATGCGCCATCCTTTGAGCATCTGGTGCAGACGCGGGCCCGCGATAACACCCCGACTGCCTTGCCGAGTCCGGTGCCCTTTCGGAAGTAAATGGCAGATATTGAATGCGGTAGTGGAAACGTCTAATGCATAATGAACGGAGGGAAAGTAGATCTGAAAAGCTGAGCCGCGTCCGAGATACACATGTTTGGTCAGATATTTCCTGGGCTTAGCACGGTACAGAGGATGATAGGTCATGTATTATTCATGATAAAGCCAAAATAAATAGTATTTGTAATACATTGATGGCCATCGCTGGCTGTTGTTGGACATTCCTTATGATCTCTTCCACGACTATTACTGATTGGGGCCCAATAACAAGCTGCGGAAGAATATTCCAATCACAATTGACATGTCTTGCGGCAGTTTATAGAAATTCCGTAGATTTCAGGCTTTGCACTCCACCCTGTATACACATGACTTTTATAACGTTCTTCACGCAATCTATATACTGGTCTACATCAACCCATCCTGGCTCTCTGAAACATGGTTGAGCAGGAGCAGCTTGCACTCTGAGTCCTACTTTATTTTCAATCCATTCCTAAATACCGTGAGAAAGGCAGGGAACCTACCATTGGCCTTGCCCACCACCTTGTCGAAGAAGGTCTGGCTCGGTCGCTTCCTCAACCCACCGACGCCTCCTCCCGGTACCTCCAGGGTCGACTGGCCCGACCTTCTGCACAATAGATTGAATGCGTGTCAAGAAGCCCTCCGTCTCGAGCTGTTCCGGTGGCGTATTTCGCAGCACCTGCAGAGTGACCCCAGCGAGCAGCACTCCCTCGCGACTCCGTTCGTAATGTTCAAGCGACGCGAGCGCCATCCCGACAGGTCTATACATCCAAGCTCTGAAGCCGCGGATTACGAGCTTTCCCGAGATGCTTAAGGTGCTACAAGATGCATAGTTACGGTGGATAATTATAGGGGTCCTAGAGAGCAGCATTCGCAGAAGAGCAACACTATAGGGCCCCTTGGGCCATCTTTGAGACTACTACATCTGCACTGCCTTCGATTCCAGCTCATGGGTTGAGTTGCTTGCAATGCCCCACTGCACATCCCCATGACCATTAGCAGCCAGATAGTCCTTCCAAGCCTGATCCTCGTTGTCCAGCGCGTGGTCCACATCCTGGAACACAAACCAGGCCAGTAGCCCCCCTAAGACGGCGAACCCGGAGCCAATGAGAAACACGGCCTGCGTACCGCGAAATTCATCGTCTCCCCAGCTGGCGAGGATGGGCTTGAAGACCGCCGTGCCAATGGCCGCCCCCGCCTTGCTCCACGCCGCTGCAAATCCCACGGCGTGCCCGCGAATCGCGGTCGGAAAACTTTCACTGGCTGTCACGACAATCGTCGATCCGGGACCCACCTCTCCCAGCGTGAGGAAGATGCCATAGAGCACAATGAAGAGCGGCAGCGATTTCTCAAAAGGTCCCAGCGCGCCACCTAGGATGAAGCCCAGGGCCGCCTGGAGAAAGTACCCGAGCGCCATGGTCCGCCGCCGCCCAATCCGATCGGACAGGAAGCCCCCGATGAATGCCCCGGGAATGTAGAAACAGTTGATAAGAGTGCCCCAGGCCATTGTCAGCGCCAGAGAGGAGGTCGGGTTCACACGACCGACAATCGTAGATGAAAACAGCCCAAAGGGGTACGAAATGTAGTTATAACTAGCATTGATATTAGAGCCACAACAAGCAATAGCATATACTCAATCACTTACATGAACCAGGATCCGCAAGTGCCCAGCAACGGACGCCAATATCGCTTGAGTGCCAACCAGTAGGGCACTGCTTGCTTCTGCATCGCACTCTTGCGATAGGCCGAGCTGACTGCCATTCGATATCGGAACCAGAAGATTGAGAGCGGCGGAATCACCCCCAGCGCGAGGGATATCCGCCAGACGGCTTCATAATGATGGATCTGTTGGTGAAAGCACAGCAGCAGCAGCAGAGGGACCAGAGCACCAAAGGCGAACCCAAGCGAGGCCGACAGGTCGGCGATCATGGCAAATATAAACCCGCGTTTGTTTCGGACGCCCAGATCCTCGTCGGTGGCTTCTGCAGCTCCAGCCCCGGCGACCGGATACTCCCTGGGGAACGAGTGAGTAACAGATCCCTGATTGCTTGAGATGATAATAAGCGAACTCACCCACCCGCACCCACGCCAGCGATTCCTCTTGCGATGATCAGCATCCAAAACATCCCATCTCGATTCGTTCCGCTCGCACCAGC